ATGTGATGTGGGACACACGGCGGTTATGGTTGGCTATAACCACGTCCTAACCGTTGGGATTAGCTAAAACTTTTATGGATCGAAAGAAATCGCTTGAAAAACTTATACTTTATCGAGACATAATGAGACAACCAGGAGGCCCACATGATTGACGCTTACACCACCATGTGGTTAATTGTCTCGACATTATGCACATAATTCTTTCTGTCTAGAATCGCCAAAAATTGGGACCGAACGTTTTCGATACCAACTTCAGAAAGTAAAATATATACTCCGTATGCAGGTTGCGGCAACTTTGCAAACCATAATGTAAAATACCATTTGTATCTCCCTACAAGCTAAATTCAGCAAAAATATAGTGTTCTAAATTCAATCGTTTAAAATTCAAGTAGGTTATGCACCTTTTATTTTTTGCGATGGCCCGGTTCGTCTTACTTGTCTGGGAGTGTATTTTTGCGTATTAGTTGATACTATAGCCAAATACTTCGATGTTATACACATTTCATGGGTACTAACATAAACAAAGATATATATAGTTCGAAGTCAATAAGAACTAAGTTAGATATGGTGAAAAGTAGATTCGCTGAAATCTTGGTGTGGTGCGAACGAGCGTTGGTAGCCTTCCGTTTTACGGCGGCATAAATGAGGAGTAAAGGGCGCCAATAATGTCGTTGCATAATTTGGGTGCCAATGCTATCACAAGTACATTGTGTCAGATTCTATCTATAACTGACACAATATCATATTGTATTCGTTATTTCCAATAATGAAAATAAAATCCAATTATTTTTTTCAATCTCTGACTTAAATGATACCAAGTACGACCGGATATCAGGTTTCTCGAGATTCATTTAGGAAAGGTTTTAGTGTACCGAGGAATACAGAACCATGGATACTGATACATTAATATAGCAAGTTGTACATAACTCAAACTCAGGTGATGCTGTTGGCAGTTGTAGCGCAGAATTTCTTGTTCATGACTGCTAGACGTGACAAACACGGTCTTTGGCCTTGAGATACATCTTAACTTACCCAACTTAGATTTCCAATTAAAAAAATTCATAGGAAAACTCAACTCGAGTCTGAATTTTTACTTTTGTTTTTGATTGAGGCCGAGGGACTTGACTTCTATTGTGCCTATCAGTACATATCATAATTGTGTAGTTCTATTATGATTATTCCAAATATTTTATTTCGGGTCTGGGTAACGCTTTTGGTCCGCCCTTAGGTCACGTGATCAATAAACAGGTAGGAGCGGGTCCTTCTTGTATCGGATGTCTTTCCCAGACGAGGTGATTAGCAGCATTGACATACCGCAGAAATGCAGCCCTATACGCCACCTCTTTCAACTAGGTCTAAGTCCCAGGTACCGCGTTAAATACAATGTACACGCTGCGCTCAACATTTCGTGGTGTGTCTTAATGGCCCTCAAGACTTGCTGGTCTCGTGACCAAAGTAACGTCGCCAAAATTGTTTCTGATCTGTAATAAAGCTTACCGATTATTTTGGCATAAAGGTTCAACTCCGTTCCTCTAAAACAATATATTTACAAAGGAAAATTTTAAATTCGGTTTGTATTTCCAAGAACGTACAGATGACGATGCACAAGATGTAGTATTGTGGATTTCAAATTTTTTGGCAAAAGGGGGATATATTTGTCAGTTATAACAACTCGATTTTAAATCGTAAGTCGGTTTTATGATATTTGATTACAACCAAAACTCTGTTTTCTGTAATACACATCGCAGGGTTATAGTGACTACGGGCGTTTTAGAAGCCCAAGAGTCAGTAATGCAATTACTACAGTTTAGAGCTGTGTTTCTCCCAGGCGACTAATATTATTTAATACTATGCATTATTTTTCCGCTCTAAGTTTCACTTCTCAACTCTCCGTCAAATAGTCAGTCAAGGCACTCAGCACCATGACCTATGCTGCAGACTATCGATGGTGTG